AAATGCGTATAACTATGATTAAACATTACAAATGTTTCTCTAAACATATATTAAAGGAAAGCAAAAGAGTGTTTCATTTCGCATTAATTTTGATAAATAAATATAAGTATGCTTTTCTTTTATTGTAATTTTTTTAATTCGTGATTTTTACCAAATATTTTTTTAAAGGTTAACAAATTATGCAAATCAAAGACGAAAGGAATTAGTTTCTAATCGGAAATGAAACGAAGTACGTGTTAGGTTAACGTTAAATTAGAGTAAAAACATATGAACTCAATAGATTTTTCACGGTCATAATATGTTGAGTGCTTCACTTGGAAATAATTTTAATTATCATTCATATCAATGCGGTTAATATGGTAACCACAGAATACTTTCCGTCTGATTCATTGCTACATGATGGTAAGCACTTGTATAGTTGAAGCGATGGAATTATGTTTCCTAATTTATGAAACAACTCAACCCCATGAAACTGAGATCATTACACTTTCCTCTTACTTGTTAGTTAAAGTGATACACTACTGTTTTTTAAAGAATATGGAAAACGAAATAATTAAATCGTGACTTTAGATATCGGAAGCTATGGAAAAATTGCAATAATTTATTTACCAAAGAATAGGATATACTTTATAAGAAATTATAAAATAAAAGTAATAATTGTTTTAACAGTTAAAGTTCAATTGAAAAATGAAGTGAAAACATATTTTATTTATCAAGATATAAACATTTAAAATTTTTATGTTTTATTAATGATTCTATTATTATATTATTAATGAGTTTATATTAAAGAATAAGAATGATTGTATTCTTTACATTTTTCGTGATTTTGTGAAATACTTTTAATGATTCATTATTAGTTATTATGCTATTATTATGCTATGTGGAATTATGTTTGGCATTATCCTGATTGTATTTTAATTTAATTAGAATTTAGTGATTAAGTGACTTAAATTACATATGTTGTTGAGTACTTAAAATTGAAAGATTAAATCGATTAAAGGATTACACGTGTAAAGGAATATATAAAAAATGGAAAGAAATCGTTATTATTTAAAGACATACAGCGCAACACAATTTAAAATAAAGCACTACTACTTTAGTATTAATCATGAGCGATATCAACTAGAAAAATAGAATCCAAATACATATAATATAAACAATAACATATCATCGCGTTCTAAGTATATTTTTCCAATTATGATTAAGATGTATACTAACAAAATTATATTATTGTTGTATTATTTATAAGAGACAATAAATGTTTAAACCATTAGACAATTTAAATGGTAAGCCTGATAATTAATGCAGCGATTAATTTCTTACAATGTTGGAGAAGTAGAGACTGATGATACACGAAATATAAGAAAATTACAGTGAGACAAAAAGGTGGGTAGTATGCGTAGGCAGATTGAGAGTGTGTCTTCCACACATGATGCATCAAATAATTCTAACCACACCCTTCCATCCGCATTCCATCTTTCTATCAATTTTGAAATCCAAATAACATATGATTTCTTACAATCAAGAATTCAAAACTAATACCCTTTATACGTACGTATATTATATTTGTCGATTTTATTGTTAATTTGTGAATATCACGAGAAGGAAACATAGTATTCTTAATCATTTGAATCGTGAATATGGTCGTGACATAGCAGTGTGCTTGTGACAGTTCTCTATAGTCTGGTTATGCATCTATAAAAAGGAACTCCTTCATTGTAATACGACATATAAAAAAACCTAATGTGTTAAATATTTATGTTACAATTCAGTATTTTATTTTTAAACAGTGCGTCATAATTGATTAACAATCAATTCGATTAATATTTAAAAGTAAATCAAATAAGGAGGAGAAGAATATTGATGAAATGTGTAAAGAGTGATATAGATATATATGTATATCTATAATTTAAATGATTTGATTAGACTATAATAATTAGAATGTAGGAAACAATAAATTTTCAATAATCAAGCATAAAATAATAAAACCACTATTAATAAATCAATAAGAAGAATTCTTTTGTAACATAATGTTTAAATATTTACGATTATTAATAATCGTTTTCCTGCATAATAAGAAAAGTCTTCTTTTGTAAATAGCTTATAAACGCAAATGAGCGCAAATAAAGCGGTAATGACATAATATGACCGTACATGCATTTGTGCACTGCATATTAAGTCCTCGAAAGCATGAAAGTAAAAACTGAAGAAACATTATTTTTTGTGTAACTTAAAAATATTAGACTGTAATAACAATATATATATTGAAAATTTATCTTCACGTATTTATTTCGATGAAGGCTAGATCATTAAGAAACACCAAAAATACTTTTTTGCGTAAACGATTTTAAAAATTTCACAAACACGTATAACTTTAATATTATATAACTTTTTGATATGAAAGATATACATAACTTTAAATTTATTTATTTATTACTGTCGAAATGTTAATTTAAAACTTAGAGCTATTTGATAAACACTTGTAAAAAGGGTAATGCTTTTATAATATTTTAATTCTTGTCTTTTTTGGTATGAGATGAAATGATGTCAATTCTTCCGTAACTTGTTAATTTTCCTTCTGCCATATGACGCACATAAATTTATATAGTTTATGACATAAATTAATCGCATTACAGGATTTCTTATAAATTATTCATAATCGTTTGATTCAAATTCCAAATTCAAAACGATATTTGTAAGTAAACCATCTATTCTTAGTGTTGATAAAATGTGATAACGTTATCAAAGTTAATCATACGCCACATCATTCGTAGCTTAAATAAAATAACGTAGATTGTAACTAAAAGTTAAAGAAATTTTTAACAAGCGAAATAATTATTTTATTTCAGTACAGTTATTATATATTATACCATATAATTAAAAAAAATATTCAACTATTCAATATAAAATTCTTTTATTTGCAATTATATCTAATTTTAAAATCTCTGGTAATAAAATATAAGACAAGACACAATTACCAATGTTACAATAATTATAACGAGACGATCTTTTTCCTTTCACTTTTCCTTAATATAATGTTTGAATACGAATTTATAGAAGGAAATCCATTTGAGAAAAATAATTTTAAAAATACATCGATTTCTCGTTTGATAGAATATATTGTTAATGCATTTTATCACTAATTATTAGTATCTTTTACATTTACATAGCAAGAAATTTCCTATTCTGAACTCTTAAAGTTAAAAAACGACGTTAAAATTTCAAATAATTTTTCTTATTCCAATTATAAAATCACACTTTCAAAACAAGTTGCAATCTTTGTGTAATACAAGTAAAAGTAACGAGAACTGAAAGGAAGAACCTTACATTAAGTTCTGTTTGTTAGTATAGGCGTTTTAAAAACTGATTTTCAAGTCAATATCTTTTTTCTTTTTTTTCTGAAAATCTTGTGAAATAATACTTTTTAATTTCCTTGGAATAAATTCTGGTTTTAAAACAAAAATATAATCCTTTCATCTACACAGTAATGTGTATCCACGCGGTATAGAAAAGCGCATAGATTGTTTTACCGCAACGAAAGGAACGATATATGCGATAAAAGAACAGTATAAAAAGTATCATCGATAATTTACCTTGAATTAGAAAGATTTTGATGAAAAATGTAATTGACGTATGTTGAGATACATGTTCCCATTTAAGAATCGGTGTACAAGACAATTTTCTTTCTGTTGCACAATTTTAAACACGTGAATTGATTGAAATTCTTATAAATTACGGCAAACGTAATGGAAAAGCTGCGTGGACACAGTTCGCGCGACGACTACTCGATGACTACGACACACCACCGACGCATTTTAAACGTTCACTGAAACGTCAATTATGCTATACACACTACCTAAGTAGATAGAGACATGCGGTAGTAAACCTCTGGTCTCTGATTCAATTTTTTAACGATATCGTAATTGAATTGGATAAATTAAACTACAAACGAATTCTGTTTTTTAAACGAATTCTAGATTTTTCCCTCAAGGATGTAATATAACAAAATAATGATATAACAAAGTCAATGAAGATATTATCAAAAGCTTTGATTTTCAATTGTGATTTTCTTCTTAGATTTCTTTCAAATTTTTTTCTAAATGAATATATACTCCTTTTTGGTATATCTAATAATAAAAGTAATATAATTGAAGCATTGAAGTATATTAATTGATTAATATAATGTCCGTGTAGATCATAGATATACTTTATAGCTACAGTTTATTATACATTATATTAAAAATCTTTTTTCGCCTTTATTAATATGATCATTTCTCTCTTTTCGTGAAATTTCTGAAAACAGAATTAATGTAATAAAGTTATTACATATATATAAATAACTTTTAAATTATTAGTATATAACTATTAACTCATAAATAACATTCAAATAATTATCATTATCGCTGTCGTTAGTTTTTGTAAAATATTAGACACATAAACACAATGTGATATTTTGAAATCGAGAGAAAATTTTGTATAACCTTACGAAAGGTATACGTATCTTTCTTCCTTACATACAAATTAAACAAAATAACTATTGTATGTACATAGTACTATGTACAGTTTACTAACTTCATTATATATTAGTTGAAGAAATATGTATTTTTATTTTTATTTTTAATACGAAAAAAGAAATAATCTAATTAAATAATATTAAAACAAACTTTGTTAGGTATTGCGATACTAATCAGAATAAAGTTCAAGATATAATTATAGGAATGATCCGTCGTTTACAATTCATGGTGCACATAAATTGAAATTCTAAATTACATGTCCCCCATATTTAGAATGATTCATAGTTTCATATTCATAAATAGTATTCGTCTGATGACGTAGACGCTTTAATTAACGATCGCACAACGGAACATTATCCGATTGTTTGACAAGTTTGGTACAATGCCGTGATTTACATCGTTTCAATAGTGTTCTATGTTCTACATTAACAGCGACGGAATTTTCATTAATATCTATACAACAATTATTATAAAGTAAATAAATTACTTGAGTAAATATTGTAAAAGGAATTCATGAAAAACAATTTAAACAATTTAAACGGACAAAGTCACAATTTAAATATTCAATTTGATAAATATTTGAGTATATGAATATATCTAAAATATATTAAATCAATTTCTTTTTAAAACTTATTAAAGAAGATTAAATTCAAAATAAATATTTCAATTGGAATAAATTTCACATTTACCCATTGATATTTAATATAATCTGTGTAATTTGATGTTCTCTTAATAGAGGTCTCGACAAACGTACATTTTTTAAACGGTGTACCTTTTCAATATATAATCATAGATAAAAGTTCAAGAAACGTAATATTTTATATACCAAGAAATACAAATCATTAATCAACGGAACATGATTAAACTTCTGGAGAAAATGGAAGATAATTATGAAGAGAGTAACAATCAAGCAGATCGAATAAATTACTTAATCGAACAGGTAATCTTTTTACTAAAGATTAATGTTACGACTATTATTCTACTTATTCCATTCTATTTTTTATCGGCACATTTTATCATTTTAACAATACAAAGTTGAAATCTCAATATTTTACATTCTGTATATCAGAAAAATAAACGTTTCTTTCTAAATTCTTTTGTTAAAAGTTTATGGAATTAAGAGAAAAAATCTATAAACACAAAAAAAATAGATATTACTGGGAATCACATTTTTCTATTTTGTCGATAAATATTTGGACAGGACAAATCAAGTATATAGAATTGCAGAAAAAAGAAATCAATCTTAGAAGCGCTATTTCAAAAGTTGTAAAAATAATCGAACTTAAACAACAAGAATTGAAAAATTTAATAACAAACAGAACAACATATTTCACAGAACAACGGTATTTTTATCTGCTTCTTTAAATAAATTATTTAATCTAAATACAGTTTCCATGTTCATATTTTTCCTAGTAAAAATTTGACCATACTTTATAGTGCTAAATTTCGGATGGAAGGTACAAACTTTACAAATAAATGCCTGCATGCGCAGAGGGAATATGTACGTTTAATTATATTTGTTTTAAATTGTGAATGATTTCTAATTTTAAATTCAATGAGTGATTAATAAAAATAAAATATTTTATTCATAGACAAATGAAAATTTGATTCAGAACATTCAACAAATTCAACAGGAGTACCAAAAGATACATAATAGATTGCCAACATTTATGGCAAAATTGATAACTCTAGGAACATTATGTAGTTTGAATAATTTAACCTCTGTTGAAGAAACTCAAGAAGTATTAAAAATTAATATTGTCTTGAGAAGTATAACGTAAGTGTAACTATTATCAGTAAAAAGAAGTTTTTAATCCGTTATTATAATTAGTAATTTTTAATAATTCATTCACTTTGCTCAAATGCTATATATAGGGAAAGTAATAATAGTAAATTTTTGCAAGTTACATTCGTCCAAGATTTATTGAAAAAATTGGAAAATGAAGTAAAACAGAAGAAAATAATATTGAATAACATTTGTCAGAATACATAATTTATATCATTATTGTGTTGCAACATTAATGTACATTGATATTAACATTAAAACTTGTTTGTTTACTGCTATATCTTATCTTATTATGGAACAAAAATATAAAATAAAAATTAAAATTGTATAAAAATTTTGGCATTTTATTATTATTTCGTTTCTTTCCAATTTCTTGTAAAATAAGTTTAAACTGAATTCTATTTCTTTTAGAAACTTCAAAATAGTGAATTAAAAAATGTCTATATAATTACATATATGTATTTATTACTATTAAATTATTATTTTTAATTATTATTTTTAATTATTTTAATATTAAATTATTCATTTAATATTGTCAGTATTGGATTGTATTAGATTAATCACATATTAGAAAAATCATATAATTGTAATATCAGCATCTAATAATATTCATATTGTAATAGAATTAGGATTTTTAAATATTAATACTGAAGAATTAATAATACAAAAGATACATCAAAATTTTCTAAATATTTTAAGTGTTTAAAATAACAACGACTATAATAACAACAACAACAACAACAACAATAATAATACTGTTAAATTAAACTTTAAAAATTAAACTAAATTAATCAATTTTTAATGGAATTCAACGTGTTCCATTTTTGAGTTAAGAACATTTTTTTTTTTGTATCGTTTATTATATGTATTTTTATTATTAATTCTAATAAACTATAATATAGCTTTTATCTTTTATATCCTTATCTCTATTTTATAAAAAAAAATTTATTACTATTTTTTTTATTGATACAATTCATTTGAGTATATTAATTGGTTTCATTCTAATGTATAATGTTCCCGCGTAAACTATTGTAGGAAGTCCAACCGGCTGCGATCATTGGTTAGAAAATTGAATTTATCAAAAGCCGGTGTACTACGTTGTCTTAAGACATTTTTGTAAAGATTTAATATTTTTTGAAGTAAAAGTACACGAAATTTTTGAAATAAGTCAATATGGAACTCACGGATGATAATTTGCTTACTCTTAGTGAATATTTAAAGCATACTCTTAGCCCAGATATAAATGTTAGATGGCCAGGTGAATATAACCTCTTTGTTAATGATCATAAGATGTTTTATAAAATAACAAACTCGAATATATCACTATTTGTAAAGATAGTTTCTATTTAAATTTTTTATTTAATTATAATAAGTTTTATTACGATTTGCAATTTAAATATTACAGTCTTAAAGAAAATTTGGCATGTGCGTATCAACAAGTACTTCACTGAATTATTATAATAATTTGCTACTTACAAAATCATTTTAAAGACATATATGTTGAATTTATAGAAAGCAAATACTTGAATTTATAGAAAGACCAAAAGACATCTAGAGAGACATTTCAGACATTTTCTTTTTTTTTTTTTTATTAAATAAAATTCTTAGTTTGTACTAATAAAATGATTTATAAAATATGATAGATTAAAATTTTTAAAATATATTGATTATAATCGTACTTTTTTGAATTTATAATTTTTGTCTTTTCTTTCGATTCTTTTATGAATCTTTTGCAAAAACATGATTTTTATATTTATATTTTATTTTTTTTCACATGCATGAAATATGTTGGATCATAAAATAAATTTATAAATTATTTATTTTTTTTTGTACTTTAGCTGAAAAGTTTTTAGCATCAGTTGAAATAAATCAAAATTATCCATTACTTCTTTTACATCTTGTGGACAAATCTGAAATCAATATAACTATTAGAATTGCTGGTGCAGTTGCATTTAAAAATTATGTGAAACGCAATTGGAAAGTGGTAATTATTCGTATTATTAATTAGTATAATTTTTATTTTAATATTTCTAATAAATTAACAATTAACTGCAATATAATTTATTTTATATTTAGGGAGAAGATTCTATAGATCGTATACATCCACAAGATAGGGAAGCTATAAAAAAATTAATTGTTAATTTAATGTTACATTCTCCTGATTCTGTTCAAAAACAATTATCCGATGCTGTGTCAATAGTTGGAAAATATGACTTTCCAAATAATTGGCCAGAACTTATAGATCAAATGGTTGAAAAATTCAATACTGGAGATTTTCATGTTATTAATGGTGTTTTACATACAGCACATTCATTGTTTAAGAAATATAGATATGAATTTAAAAGTCAGAGTCTATGGACTGAGATAAAATTTGTATTGGATAGATTTGCTAAACCTTTGACAGATTTATTTGTTGTAAGAATTTTACTTTATAATTTCTTCTTTAGTTATAGTGTATTAATTGCATTTTTAAATTATTTAATTTTTTTTAGGCTACAATGAACTTAATACAAGTACATGCAAACAATATAGATGCATTGAAAGTTATATATAGTTCTTTGGTAATTTTATCCAAAGTGTTTTATTCCCTTAACTTCCAAGTGAGTAAAAGACATAATGAGTTATAATTGATATAACATTAAATTTTCGTATTATAAATATATATATTTTATTTTTAGGATTTACCAGAATTTTTTGAAGACAATATGGCTGTGTGGATGAGAAACTTCCATATATTGTTGAATACAGATGTCTCTTCCTTACAATCTACTGTACTATTACATATAAATTTGTTGTTATATATTTCTTTTTAGTAAAATATATATATGTTACAATATTTGACTTATGTATAGGATGAAGAAGAAGCAGGAATAATTGAACAGTTGAAGTCACAAGTCTGTGATAATATTGGTCTTTATGCTCAAAAATATGATGAAGATTTTCAACCATACTTACCTGAATTCGTAACTGCTGTGTGGAATTTACTAACATCTACAGGACAACAACCAAAATATGATACTGTATGTAAATTTAATAAATACTATATACATTGAAATTGTTCCAATGATTTTTTACATTTTTGCAGTTAGTTTCGAATGCTCTGCAATTTTTAGCAACAGTAGCTGACCGTGTTCAATATAGAAACTTATTTGAAGATCCAACTACTTTAAGTAACATTTGTGAGAAAGTAATAATACCCAATATGGAATTTAGAGGTAATTAAGTAATTTAGAAATATTATATTTAGCATATATATTTCATATGTCTCTTGATTTATACTATAATGATATTTCATATTTAATAGAATCAGATAATGAATTATTTGAGGATAATCCAGAAGAATATATCAGACGAGATATTGAGGGCAGTGATGTTGATACACGAAGACGTGCTGCTTGTGATTTAGTTAAAGTGCTTTCTAAACATTTTGAAGCAAAAATTATGGAGATTTTTGGTGCCTACATACAAGTAAGTAAATAAATATATATATGAACTTGCCCTATACGTATTGATGTACATTTATTTTTCTGCTTATTTTTAGGTGATGTTACAAAATTATGCTGATAAGCCCACTGATAATTGGCGAAGTAAAGATGCTGCAATTTATTTAGTCACTAGTAGTGCGAGTAAAGGTCAAACGCAGAAACATGGTGTTACACAAAGTAGCGAACTTGTTCCATTACCACAATTTACAATGCAGCACATTGAACCGGAATTAGTTAAACCAAATGGTACAAAAAATGCTTAAAACTACTAAAAACTAATTTATTTATTAAATTGTTAGAAATTTGTTTTAAATAAAAAATTTTAATGTAATTTTCAGTGAATGAATTTCCTGTGCTTAAAGCTGATGCAATTAAATTTATAATGACATTTAGATCAATATTGCCAAGGGAAATGATAATTGGTAGTTTATCACAACTAATTAGGCATTTAAGTGCTTCGAATATTGTAGTTCACACATATGCAGCTTGTGCAATTGAAAAAATACTTGCAATGAAAGGTTCCGATAATTTACCGTTGTAAGAAAATTAATATTTTATTTAATGATAATATAATTACCTCGATATACTAACATTTTAAAATGTGAAATTTTATTTATAGAGTGGAAGAAAATGATATATCACCACTGACATCAGATTTATTAAAAGGTTTATTTGCATGTTTAAATATACCTGGCTCGGAAGAAAATGAATATGTAATGAAAGCTATCATGAGAAGCTTTGGTATTTTACAAGAGGTGATTGTACCATTTTTAGCAGATCTTTTGCCAAAACTTACAGAGAAACTTGCCATTGTATCTAAAAATCCAAGTCGTCCTAACTTCAATCACTATCTCTTTGAAACATTTGCTTTATCGATTAAGTAAGTAATTAAGTAAATTATATTGTTCAATATAATTTTAATATAATTTTGTGTTTAATATAATTTTAGAATCGTTTGTAAAACACACAAAGTTGCAGTTTCTTCATTTGAGGAAGCACTGTTCCCAATTTTCCAAGAAATTTTACAGCAAGATATTCTAGGTAAACTATTTCATTTGATATATAGAATCATGCTACTTGTCTTTTAATTAATATTTTTTTTTGTTTAGAATTTTTGCCATACGTTTTTCAAATACTTGCTTTACTTTTGGAATTACGAACGACTCAAGATATGCCAGAAGCATATTTGGCCTTGTTTCCTTGTTTACTATCATCCGTGTTGTTTGAACGTCAAGCTAATATACATCCTTTGAATCGATTATTAAGAGCTTTTATTAGCCATGGTGCACACCATATAGTAGCACAAGACAAGACAAATGGTTTGTTAGGTGTATTTCAAAAATTGATTGCATCGAAGGCTAATGATCATGAAGGTTTCCTGTTATTACAAAGTATCATTGAACATTTTGCACCGTAAGTTTTTTCTATTAGATTTTTTTTATTGTGTCATTTTAACATTTACACTGCTAATAGTGAAATATTTTTAGGAATGTATTGGAACCATACATGAAACAAATCTTTGTTTTACTATTTCAAAGACTTTCGTCATCAAAAACAACAAAATTCGTAAAAGGTCTAATTGTATTTTTCGCGTATTATATCATTAGATACGGTTCAAATAGTTTGGTTACGATTATAGATCAAATACAATCTCGGTGAGATGTTTATTTACGAAAAATTAAAAAAAAAATTATGATTAAAATTAATTGACATTTAATAATTTTAATATTTTCAGAATGTTCGGTATGGTCGCAGAACGTGTATTAATAGAAGATATGCAAAAGGTGTCAGGTGATATTGAACGAAAAATAACTGCAGTTGGAATATCAAATTTACTAATTGATTGCCCTGCAATGTTGGAAAGACCATATAGAACATATTATCCTTATTTATTAGCAACGTTAGTAGAATTTTTCGAATTACCACAGGATCAGTCTACATTATCCGAAGATAATATATTCCCAAAAACTGAGGATATGCCTGGATATCAAGTAGGATATAGTCAACTAATTTGTGCAAAAACTCTTCCAAAGGATCCTTTAGAAGGTATAATTATAAAACACATTTTATTTCCTAATTAATTTTATATTTTAACAAGTAAAAATTTTACTAAATTTTTCATAAATTATACTTCCATAAATAGCTATAGGTGACGTACGTTTACATTTAGCACAAGGATTAGCAAGATTATCACCAAGGCAATTACTTAGTATTCTTGACGAAATCCCAGAACCTATCGCAAATCTTCTAAGGAACTATCTCCAAACGGTTGGCATTACCGTTGCATAATACGAGCTAGACGTCCGAGATAGATTAAAAATTCATTTGATTGCTCGGAAAATAAACAACATTGAACTGAATAAATTGTAACAAAGAGGAGAAAAAAAAGTTGTTTTTCCGGTATTTGTGTTGCGGGACTGAACATTGTACCTATTGTTTGTCTGTCATGTAATTGAATATTTCAACAGTTATTTATCATTTTCATGTGATACCTTGTTTGGAGTCTGTGACGTCAAAATTGTTAGAGAAAAAAAAGAATGCTAACGCTGTAGCACAAAACCATTGAAATAATTAGTTGCTACGTGTAATTTATTGTGTGAAACATTCCTGAGGAATTATTTATGTCAATCCACATTTTGTACAATAACGAAGATGACAAGCATACATCTCTTTAGATTAGTTGTTTAATAAATACGTGAATATCTAATCAAGTGATACTGCGTTGACTAATGGCCTGTGAATAAATTAATTGCTAAATACATTTTAAACTTAGATGTACAATTTTTATGCTTACAATATTTGTAAAGATTGTTAAACAAAAATTTTAATTGCATTTTGTATTTTAAACAAATTCGTTTCTATTTTATTCCCTCTTATCAACAATCATAGCAAAAAGCATCTATTTGTAAATTTTCTAGAGATAATGAGTTTTCTGGAAGTAATGAATGACAATGTAACCTGTAACAAATGTACAATTAGAAGAGAAAAATGAAATGAAATAACTTTAAGTATTGAAATTATGTCAAATATTATTAAAAATATAACAAATATTGTTTATTAACTTTTTTAATAAAAGAATTTCAAATGTAGAATTTTTTCCATTAATAAAAATTATTTTATAACATATTTATTTACATACAACATTAGTAACAAAAAAATAATATCGAATATTATACTTTTATATCTTTGAAAACAGTAATTTTTTTTAATTGTTTTATAGATTATCTTCGTTCATAGAGAAACATAGTAAACGATAATAGTGCATAAATTTAATTATATAATAAATTTACTTTATTTGTATATTTGAAAGTCTTATATTGTGTTAACACAAGACTCAAAAAAGAGAAAAAATGATGGAAACTTTAATTGGAAATGGTTTCTATGTAAATCCGGTTTACAATTAAAAATTCGATAAGGTAAATAACTACACAAAGAAGTTACCGATCTGTGTTTACCTTCTGTTATCAATGACGTGCATCATGGCAGTATAGTGTCCGATGTTTCTCACATAGCAATTGACATATACTTGCACTAGGCAAGTAGTTAGTAAGGACGGTCAACAATACACAATGGCGAAAATAATTTTACTGTGGTTATTATTTGTTATATGTTCAATTCACCGTACGTCGACTTTTTATTTGCCGGGTTTAGCGCCCGTGAATTATTGCAAGCGAGGAGAAACTTCTGAAACGTGTAAAGTGTGTATCAAAGATTAGTTTCAAGTGTTTCAAGAATTGGTTATGATTGCTATTAACGTTTTCCATCTTTTTTTCTTTAAACACAAATATTTCATATTTATTGTTTATAATACTCATTATATATTAGTCACAGTTTAATTTATTTTCTATTTTTGACATTACATTAGTTAAAAATTATTTTTTAGAAATTATAAATATGTTTTTTTATGTCTTCCTTGACATGTGACTCATAGTATTGAAATTAAGTAATGAAATGTTTTAATTAAATAATAAAAAGTATAATTGTTTGTACAATATTATTGAAGTATTCTTAAATCGACTTTGAATTTACTTTGTGTTTTAATTTATATATTAATTGCTAACCCATTTAATCGTTATTATGTATGAATTTTTTAATGTGAATGTTGCTGAATTTCTAAGCTTATATTTATTGTACACAGCATAAACATTATATTTGTAAAAATATTGTAAAAGTTTAAACAGGCTAATGTTTAAAAAATAGTTTGCAATTTATTTTTGTATTATGAAGTTTTCTTTTTATTAACATAATTATACATTATTTAGAATTGCAGTCTATTTATGTTTTATATGAGTATAATATATATAATTTATAATTTAATATGTTGCATTAAATAATTTTATTCTTTTTCAGTCTGAAATTAAACTATACGTAAATCGTTTAAATACTGAGAAATATGTAATACCATATGAATACAGTCAGTAAGTTTTCAAAAAATATATACATATGTAAATAATATTATATTTTTTAATCTTATAAAAATCTAATTATCATACGAACAATTATTTTTATTTAGTTTTGATTTCAAAGTTGTTTTTGGAGAACGTATAAGGCCTTCTCCTTATAAGGTATAGTAAACCAAAATATCTTTAAATATTTCATCATTCTCAATTATATTTCTCTTTGTGTAATACATCGAATGGGAAATGATAATTACCATTATATATGAACTAATTATGAAGTATGAAAAACAAAATTATTATCTATTATAATTATATCATGTTATAATACAATTAACTTTTTCGAGCTAATATATTATTTAAAGGAGTATTTTGGTCTAGAAATTTGAAAAAATCGATTTAATTTTTAATTTTCTTGAAGTATGTCTTTAGAAATATGTCTACAAAGTTTGTTTAATTTGTAAAATTAATGGAATAATATTTGTTTGAAGAATATATAGGATGTTCCAGCAACGGTAGTGCAACTGTGAAAAGGGTGATTCTACATGCAGAAACAAATCGAATAAAAAGAATACAATTTTTTAATTGGAAGCTTCGTTTTCGAGAAAATCGACTTTGAATATTCGTCGAATGCGTGTGCACTTGACTATGACTTAGATGTGTCGAACATCAGCATACCAGCACTGGTGGTACAGTCGAGCAGGTGATTATTCTACATGATTAAATAAATCGAAAAAAAAAGAAAAAAAGAATAAAATTACTTAATTGGAAACTTCGATTTTGAAAAAATCGTCTTATAAATATTGACCGAGTGCGCGTGCACTTAGTGCAGCCCTAGTACAACGAGCACGAGTAGATGGGTAGGATGCGAGAATACAAATGGCCGACATAAAATTACAATCTTAATTACATTATTCGTCATATACATACCGTTGTTTTTAGAATAAAATATTCAATTTCCTTTGTTATAAAAATATTCGCTGTATCTCTTTAAAGAAACATTAACAATTCATTTTTGTTTTTAAATTATTGAATATTTTTTGTTGAACATTTTATTTAGTATAACAAAAACCATTCAATGCAAGTCATATGTCATTTATAAATAGCGCTAATATCCTTAGTATCAACATGATGTATTATGGTATCTATCTGTGCCCATAGATTTTGAATAACTTTAAATGAAAATAAGACATGTAATTTACTTACTAATGTATTACTTTATTAATTCAAAAGTTGTTGAAAGTGCTATATGACGAACAATGTACAGATTACATTTATATCGCAAGAACTTGTGTCCTCGCATCCAGGCGGTCACTCGCTGCACGCTATATTCGATCCAAGTGTTAAGTGCACGCGCACTCATTGAATATTCAAAATCGATTTTTTCGAAAACAAAACTTTGAATAAAAAAATTTTATTCTTTTTGTTCGATTCGTTTCTGCATACAGAATCACCCCCTTCCCAGTTGCTGGAACATCCTGTATATATCTTGCAGCTGCAATGTGTAGACACAATGTTGCAGCAGGTATATTTTCCCATGATATTCTACAAGAAAAGGTAATGAATTTTTTCATGATCAACTATCTATATCTCATAATGTTTTAGAAATTATAAAATCCATAAAGGACTATTCAAAAATGAATTACTGAAAAGATGTTTCAACACAGAGACACAAAATAATAATGAATTACTGTTATATTCTTTGATTTGCCCACAAGTCCATTTAATGAAGAGTTTTACAATGTATTATGAACATTGTAAACAATTGGTATGAATATTGGTCAATAAGCAAATATGTATGTCTATTTTCGAGACAAAAGAAGAATTCTTCGCTCAATGTCAGTCACGCAAGGCAGCTGAACGTTCTAAAACTGAACAGAAAAAAGAAACTCGGTCAAACTTAAGTTTTTCAACTACGAGGAAGGATTAACTTATAAGCCTGGATTGGCAGATTAATCATAAGTAACCATTTCCATGTAACTAATACGTAAAACTGTAAATGCGTTTTTATTGAAGCATCATTTTTTGAAGGGATGTACTCAGGTTCTAGTTGATCAAATAGCTTGAAATTTATATAGAATCTTCAACAAATATACCACTATCGTATAAATCATGGATTTTTAAGATATTGAGAAAATTGATGTTTAAAGATTCAAAGTGACATTTTTTTATTTATCCAGATTTTTCATGTATCTTGGTTCATAGGAGAACTATATTCATACTAATCAAGATGCTATTTTGTTTTTTCGTTTCAGATTATCAGAACAGTTAGAATCTTGTACACTATCTCACCATTTTTTCTTTCTTTATAACCATGTTCAATCACACATAATGTAGTTTAAGTTAAAAAGAATAATTTGTATACTTTAAATAGTAGTGAAGGTGTATTCCAAAAATTATGGAAGAAAGTCTTATGGTTTTTTTGCAAATAATTGCTAAAAAAGGCTTAAAAATTGGTCTTCTAGATCAGGATACCCCCTTAATCTTAACAATAATTGGGGAATACTAAAACTATATTTTATTGATGTGGATCTAGATTTTATATTATAATTAATTTTCTTCTGTTTAATTTTACGTATCATATGTAAATACTTTTTTGTTTAAGTATAATATATAATAAGTGTATATAAATAATACTCAAAAGATTACAATTTAAAAATATTTATATTTGTCATTTAAAAATATATTAAATAATATTACTCTTTCTGTATATTATAAGATTTTATTTAATTTTTTTCTGAAAATGTGATTTAACTTATCTTATAATATGCAAAAATTATAAGTCTAAAATTATAAATATGTATATTAAAAAAATAATATAAACTATGTAAATTTTCAGTTAGAGTTCATGCACGATGTTAAGTGTGGATTTGTATGTCAAAAAATATATGAAGGAGGAGATAAAGACTCTGAAAAGAAGTTGGAATTTTTGAAAAAAGGAATGGCATTTAATTATCAACATCATTGGATAGTTGGTAATATTTTAATTTTAAAACAAATTCAAACATAAAATATTCATATGATCATCAACATTGCTATATTTGTCTTTTTATAGATAATATGCCTGTTACATGGTGTTATCAATTAGAAGATGAACGACAATATTGTAGCACAAGATTTCCTATGGGATGCTTTTCTCGAGACCCAAGATCTCCAATGGACACTTGTAGTATTAATGTAAATTTAATTCAATATTATTCCTATATTTTTATTAAGACTGAAAAAAATAATTATTGAAGTAAATGTTTAATCGAAAATTTTAAGAACATGTCTTTTGTCTAAATTTAAACACAATAGATTAAAAATTTAAAGGAAACGGAATTATGCAATTTTCTTTTTTAGGGAGCATATAACAAAGCAAAAACTTATTACCTATTTAATCATGTAGACCTTACAATCACGTATCATAGTGGTGTTAAAGAAGAATGGGGATCTGCATTTAAGGAAAATGGTGGACGTATAATATGTAAGGAATAAAGATTTATGTTCATATTATTTAACTGCAATGTTGATTGAATTATTAAATTTATGCTTATTTTCATTAATAGCTGTTAAAGTGGTTCCCCGTAGTATTAAACATGGTAACACTCCTGATTGTGAACTCAAAGCACCATTAGAAATACCACATGAGGCACTTGCTACTGGTCGTCAATTACTTATTACTTACACATACTCTGTAACATTTACAGTAAGTATTTAAATTAATAAATTAAAAATAATGTATAATTTGATTATTTTGTTAAACAAAAGATATATTTTTAATTCTAGGAAAACAGTACAATCAAATGGTCATCCAGATGGGATTATATTTTAGAATCTATGCCTCATACAAATATCCAATGGTTCAGTATTTTTAATTCATTAATAATTGTTTTATTTCTTTCTGGAATGGTGGCCATGATATTACTTCGAACATTGCACAAAGATATTGCAAGATATAATCAGGTACTAAAGGAATACTATTTTTAATTATCACTGCATTATTGTTCAATAAAATTAAAAAATTAATTTATTATATTTTATTCTGTTATTTATATACTATTCAAAAAGTCTTTGAAATTATTAACATATTATTACATCACTCTATTAATTAACAAGAAGGCTTCACGTTTGGTTTTGTTTTATGTTATAAGTTGTTGATGTTCCTATGTCTGTGTTGCAATAACGCAGGCTTCCTTTCAGATAGAATCAGGAGAAGACGCACACGAAGAATTTGGCTGGAAATTAGTTCATGGCGATGTATTTCGACCTCCTCGCAAAGGAATGTTGCTATCAGTTTTACTTGGCTCTGGTGTTCAAGTGTTCTATATGACACTTGTAACACTGGGTAAGCTTCTAAATGTATATGTATATCTATATAAATACCTTTTTACTTGAAATATAATAAATAAAAAATATAAAATTTTATTTTGTATTTTGCACAGCATTTGCTTGTTTGGGATTTTTATCTCCAGCAAATAGAGGAGCTTTAATGACCTGTGCCATGGTTTCATATGTTTGTCTTGGAGCTACTGCTGGTTGTGTATCTGCTAGAATATATAAAAGCTTCGGTGGTGAAAAATGGAAGTCGAACGTGCTACTTACATCTATGTTGAGTCCTGGGTAATATAATTTATTGAATAAATATAAGTAAGTGATGAATAAAGCTGATATGAAGCTATAAAATTTTAAAATTACTATCAAAGTTAATGACAGTTGTTTGTCTAATAATTATCAAATTGTTTCTAATAATTTGTATAATTATGTATCTATTTTATGTGAATATTAAAGCATAAATATTATATAAATTTAGGCAATAATTCTATATGTAGAAAATATTTAACTTTTTTGAATTATTTACAGAATTGTATTTAGTTTATTCTTCATAATGAATTTAATATTTTGGGCAAGTGAAAGTTCGGCTGCTGTACCATTTAGCACTCTTATTGCTCTCCTAGCACTTTGGTTTGGTGTGTCCCTACCATTAACATTTATTGGTGCTTATTTTGGATTCAGAAAAAGGGTAAATTTATTTATTAGTAGAAACTTTTTTTATGATAATGTAAAATTTTTTTTTTTTCATATTCAAACTGTGTTTTATTTTAATTATGCAGTTATTTTAGTCATAAAAAATGGTGTTTTGAATGAGAATTTTATTTACAGTCCTTGGAACATCCGGTAAGAACCAATCAAATTCCTAGACAAATACCAGAACAATGTTTTTATACTCAACCAATACCTGGGATAATAATGGGCGGAGTTCTACCTTTTGGATGTATATTTATACAATTATTCTTTATACTTAATTCTTTATGGTAAATATAATATTTAAAAATTTGTTAATGATAATATAAAAGTTAATAACATAAATCATTACTATTAATTCCATTTCATTATTCTAACTACTGTTAACTTAAATATACTTTATTTAAATAAGAAAGATTCTAAATCTTCAATATTTAAAATACCTTTATTTTAAAATTAAATTAATTTTTTCAGGTCAAGTCAGGTGTATTACATGTTCGGATTTCTTTTTTTGGTATTTGTTATACTCGTAATTACATGTTCAGAAACGACAATTTTATTATGCTACTTTCATCTTTGCGCAGAGGTAACTTAATCATTTTTTTTAATAAAATAGATAAAACATTTTTCAGAATATATATATTCAAATATTTTTTAGGATTATCACTGGTGGTGGCGCAGTTTCCTAACATCTGGATTTACCGCATTTTATTTATTAGTTTATTGCATACACTTCTTCATGACTAAATTGGAAATAGAAGATGCTACATCTACGTTCCTCTACTTTGGCTATACCTGTATAATGGTTTACTTATTCTTTGTTTTAACAGGTGACATATTTGCTTCTCTTTTGTTAATAAAATTGCAATATTTTATAATAATAGAATATTATATATTTTGTGTATTAAATAGGATCAATTGGTTTCTTCGCTTGTTTTTGGTTCGTGCGGAAGATCTACAGTGTCGTGAAAGTCGACTAATGTATCAAATGACACCTATCTAAATAAAATGAATGTGGTATGAGTAAATAATAAGAATGAATGATAATTGATACCAGCCTTAAAAAAAAAAAAATATTAGCATATGAATATCAAGCCTTTTTTACACGCTTAAATTCCTTCTTTGTCTATTAAAATTGTCATTCGATATAAAATTAATATTATATCGACACAATTAAATATTTCAATTATTATTTATTATTTATTAATTTGTCATGAAATGTAAAATAACAAATCAATAATATTACAAATATCATAATTTGAATTTTTGTAAAATGAAATTTATACGATTGATAATTTTGTTATATTGTACTTTATTAAATTAGTATAAAAATGTTTTCTTTTTGTAGTAATAATAATAATAATAATAATTATGAGTATTTTAGAAAAATTTATATTTTTTTTTTACAAGATTTCTGAATATATATCTGCCAAAATTCATGTTATATATTGTTTCTGATTTTTAAAACACGCGTATAAAAGAAGTTTACTGAATTTGATTTGCTATCTAAAGATTAAAATACAAAATTTCAGAATTTATCAACATAAAAATTAAATTAATACACGTAACTACTTTTCGGTATGTATTTTTTCGATGAGATAGCGATATCAGTTATAAAAATACGTGAATACACAAAATGAATAATGTAATCCAGATGTTATGTCTTATTACTACATACATTTGTTTACAGTAATAAACTGATAAATGAAATATTAATTAATGATGTAAATAAAAGAACACTTTTGCCTTAGAATCGCAAACAATTAAATTTACTGGATTACAAATTTTAACTGTATTGTTTACACATTTTTTTATCATATTCATAAGACCAAATCCTTTGTGATTTGTATTCAAGTTTTATTCTTTAAATTACTGCAAGAATTACCTAATTTTATAATATAAATAATATATATATTATAAAAATATTAATTTATTAAATTTATTAATTTTATTATGATCAAAATGCGATAAACCATAAAGGATAAATTTCATTAAGATCTTAGGTATGTTGTAAAATCCGAATTTTTTGGTAAAATATTATTTATAGACTCCAAAAAAGTATATGTTTCAGGGATTAAAAACTGTTATAATATCGATTCTAATCCTCAAAATAATTTTAAAAAGTAGACATTGATTTCAGTACTGTTCTATTATCGATTCGTATATAGATGTCAAACAATGTATGTACGTATTAGTTACTTATTTGTTGAATGTGTTCATTATGGTTTAACAAAAATTTTTCGGTTTAAATTATAGTATAAAAAAAACAAAAGTATATGTTTTGTTTCTTTAAACTAGTTTTAAAAGAATGTTTATGTCAAGTTATGTTAGTTTTTATAAAAAGATAATTATATATATATATATATGTAAAACCGACCGTATCTAATAATTTCAATACTTACAGAATCGATATAAAAGACAAATTAAGAACCATTTTTAAATTGCAATTAAAAAAGCATATCACAATTTTTAATAACTGTTTTGATCCCTGATTTTTTCACATGATAATGAAAACAACAACAAAGAAAGAAGAAAGAAAAGGAAAACATTAAAGGATATGTTATTATATGACTACTCTCTTTAAAATTACAGAAAGGTATATCCTGAACGTAACCTCGGGAAAATTAGTTTAATTGCGAAAAAGATATACAGTGTACAAATTGGTAGTTAAGTTAAACGCTGAACTTGAAATTTTTAGTTCATTTTTATTTTTTCTATTGATAGTATTTGTGATTGTGAAATATTTTAATTAATAACTGACATGCACACATCCTGTAATTCATGACTTTTGCAAATTGAAGCAATTACGACGTTAGCGTTAATGATGTTAATATAAATAAAGATCGAATAAGTTTACGTAAATGGTTATTTCCTGGTTGCAATAACACATTAATTGACATATGCGTAAATTGTTCTGTTATATAATTTTTTCCTTATTAAAATCATTTCCTTTTCGATTATATTTTAGTATATGTATAAAATACGTTTGTTTAAACCACAGAAAGTATATATTATAACGATAAAATAAATACGTAACGAATAAATTCGTTTTCTGCTTTAAAACGTATATATTTTGCTTTTTCTTTCTTCGTAAATCTTTCGATCTTGTTTCAAGAATGAATGACAAATCATCTAAATATGTTGTGACATTGTACAAAGTAAGCGGCAGATGTACTTTTTATATATAACCTATGTGTTTTACATTTATTGGTAATTTTACACGTCATATCACGGCGTATTGAAATATACTTTATATACAAACGTGTTTCTGGCTGTGCAAATTTATTGCGCGAAAGCGAGAAACACCAAAACTTTACATGTTACTACCAAATCTATGGTAGTATATATTAGAATTCAAGGAAATCTGACTACTCTACCGACAGAGATAAAAAGAAATAATTCCAGGGAGAAAAAATGCTCCCGTCGACGCTTTAGAGTGACTTTATATCAGTCAATGAACCACAGCTCTCGCCATCATCATTTTGGGCTTTTCATTTTTTGTTGCTGCTGCTTCCAATAATTTGCCCAAATTTCATTTATTTTGTTTTCTTATAACAAGACAAACAGTATTTTCAATAATCATGAATACTAAATTCGTTTCAAGCTTTTTTCTCTATGTAGATGGTTTTTCATTCGATTATCCTCCGATTCCCAGGGCACGTTTCGCGATATCTACGATATATCGTAGAACGTGATGCGTCTCTTCTAGACGATGGAAACACTACCACCATTCGTTCTACAGTTACGCTGCTCTGTTGAATAGTTAATGTCGACCTGTAAGAAGCACGGTTTAATGCTAAAATTTTAGGGAAAATGGATCGGAGATCGGGACGTTTCTTGATCATGCAACAAATTTGTACAGTTTCTGACTAATAAACGAAAAGCAACAATTGTAAGAATGAAACTAAACAGAAAAACAAATATGCGAAATCGACATAGAAACAAGAAAAATGATACTGTAAGAAATTTTTTTCTCATGAAACAATTTTTTGAATTAAAAATTAAAAAAAAAAAGGAAAGAAAAATATAGAAGATAAAGAAACGCATATTCTAATACTATTAAATTGTAAATCGTAAAACAGCCTGCAAATTGATGAACAATTAAGAAATCAAAGTTTAAAGAACATGTTTGGGTAGTCTGTCTAATGTAAAAAGAAAAGATCCATTTGTCTTTTCATGATCCATAGCATCGTTCTTAAAAATATAACTGGTCAAAAATGGAAATTTTTGCATCGGAAAGGAAAAGGTACGTTTATCGAAGGAGGTAAATCAAAGAACTATTTTCTCGGGCTGCGGCGGCGACGACCGTCCCTGTTGTTTCTCTCTGCACGTCTCATCTCTTCTAATCTGCGCGCATGTTCTGCCATATGTTGCCTTCTCATTTCTTCTTTTACAACTATCTGTAATTGAAATATAGATATGTTTATCTTAATGAATAATTATAAAGTAATATAATATACATTTAATAAATTACTGTTAAAAATAGAAATAACAGTTTATTAAATTGTTAAAATGAAGAAAAATAAAAAAATTTTTGAACAATTTATGGAAATGAAGAAATTAAATTATTGCAACCCTTCTCATAAATTCTTTTTTTTAAATTAATATGTATGTTATATATTTAGGATAAAATACAATATACATGGTACATATGTATAAAAGTTATTATACTAATTTTGCATATAATATATTTATTAGACCAGCAATTAAGAACCAAAACTGGTGCTTAATATTTTATATAAAATTCTACATTTTTAAAAACTAAAATAAAGACATTTAAATTAATAAGAATATAAGGTAGTACATAATCTTATTTTATGTAGCCAGAAAATATACATCTATATAAAATTTATGATACATTGATATATTATAAATTCTTATTTTATTATACTAATTAAATAATTCCTTTTATTTTTCTTGATTTAAGATGAATGTGTTAAACTTGTTTACCAAATAAAAATTTATTAATTTTTTATATTTTCTTCTCTTTTTTTTTGGTAAATAATTATGAAACAGATATTTGTATAACTTATTATTAACTGTTTTTTCTCTTAAATATTATATTTTCGTGCAAGCAAAATACAGTAACATGATTTTCTTTTGGATTTAAAAAATGGAACCAGTACTCTATTAAACAGTTGGTTTAAGTAATATAGTGAGATATTAAATTACTGTACCTAGCAGTGTCCCTGATTGATGTTAACATTTAGGACCATCTGCAGTTTATAACTATATGTATTTAATGGTATGTACTACAATAGATGAAAGTTAATTAACTTTCAATTTCAACTATTAAATGCAATTTATTATCAATTACTTCGATTATTTAATATTTCAATCATACAAAAGACCTTTTTAGAAGTTTCCAATAAATCATTATCATCATTAATCACACGTAGCAACAGAAAAGAACCCAATTGAAATCACCACTATTTATCGAAATATCTTATGTTGCTGCTTCAGAAATTCAAATATACTTTCTCTTGAACCAATTATACATCGAGGAACGAATATATTTAATTACTCAAATAATAAGAATAACTCAATATTTCAAATACAACATTAAATTACATTGCAAAAATGAACACAATTTTCAAGGTATAAAAAAAAATTAGTTTTCTTATAGTCATAAATATGAAATATATGTAATGTACACTTTATGTTTAATGTACCTGTTCATTTGTGAGTGGTAACCAATATATGCATGGTGTTGCTTTTGTCTTCCTAAAGAGATCATCTAAAAGTTTAGCTAGTGGCGGTTCATCCTCTTTTTTTTTAAATTTACGAGCTGGAGCTGGAAGGTGGGCTTCTACTGCTGGACTTCGACTCCTCTGTCGTCTTTTTTTGTCATGCTCTTTCTTTTCACGTTCTTTCTCCTTTATGTGTTGCTGACCATCTTCTTTACCTAGGTCCCATTCCCGAACTACCATCACCTATCATTTTTAAAACTCTTACTTAGTTATTACATATCGAATTCTTTTATAGATAATCTGTAATATATTCATATGTATAAATTTTTCAAATAAACAAATATTTGTTTTAATTAAATAAATTAGATTAATGATTCTAATACATTATTTAAGTATAGTTTAATACAAAACGCAAGCGAACAATTATAATGTTAAATCGAAAACACTGCGAATACTTTTTACTTTTCAATCCATATTTTTGTTTTATAACACAGATGCAAAAGCAATTACAAATTTTATAGATTTATAAGATATAATATTTTATATATACAATTTCATAAATTTTTAAAGCAATAAATAATATCAGATCTAGTATTAAAAGTTCTTCTTTCTATTATGTAAGTTGTAAAAGATAATACAAATAATATACCTTTGTATTTGTTCTTTCTTCACGATTCCAATCCTGTTGCCATGAATCAGAAGGAACAAGAGGTTCCGTTTTTCTTGGAATGGACTGATCTTTTGATAATTCTCGCGCCAATTCCATATCATCTTTAGTTGCATATTCAACATGAAGCTTTTTTGGGTTTGAAACTGGCCAAGATATACCATGTAATGCTTGCCTCGTTTCAAATGCCTGATCCTCATTGGCATACTAAAATAATTGACTTACTATCACATCTAATAGTATAATTCTATTCGTAAATAATAAAATAATATATTTTTAAGGATATGTATTTAATATGTATTAAATATATATTTTTTAAGTATATATATTTTATTTAGTTTATCTTTTTGTTCTATCTTATTATTTGTTCTAAGATATAGAATAAATAACAGATATTATAAAATCTAAAGAAATGTTTTATAACATTATTTACTTTCTCTGTATTTTGTTCTATTATATCAAATTTAATAGTATTGTATCAAAATTAAAGGAACATATTTATTTAAAAATCATTTTAACATACCTCAACGAAACATTTGGACTTAATTCTATCCATCCAAAATCCATTTTCAATAATTATGCCAGTACGCGATAAAAGCTCTTTAATTTGATTTAAAGTGAAAGGACGAACCAAGTTTTTGATCAAAAGGATGTTTGTAGGCTTTGTAGCAGGTGGACTTGGAGATTTTACGTGTGGTGCTCCTTTAACAATCGATATTTTACGCCTTGCTGCTACAAATCACAATTTAAATAATAAATATATTAATATGATATACTATATCAATTTAAGTTCTTTACAATTCCCAAATATATAGTCTTAAAAGTATATTTTAAAAATATTCTGATATACTTATTGTTAACGTCATAAATTTTTTAAAAAGTTGATGTTACTGCATTTTACACATCTATGGAAAATTTTCCTCAAAACAACATTTCTTGAATTCATGACTGTAATGACATGTACTTTGAGAATTGATAAACTTTGCAAACCTTTACAAATATGTTGTTGAAAGTACTTTTCACTACATCCTTCACTATTTTTAATACTTTAAATACCTTCCAATGTTACTTATGAAAATTATAAAATTAATATTAAGCTTTAAATGTTATTCATTTTTATGCTGTAGTTTTGTCAAATATTTTTTTATATTGTTTATTTTTATATATACAACAACCATATTTATAAATTTGTTTTTGTACAGCAATAAGATTAATCAGGATAATCGTTAGAAAAGAATTAATAATAATAGATTACAATATCTTTTTGAATAATCAAAATATTAATAGATGTGTGTACACAATACTAATGCCTCATTAATTTTTATATAATTCTCTAAAAATGATATTAGAATGACCTATATAAAATAAAGCACCTTATAAAAATATTCACATACCTATATGATTATCTATCTTTGTATCCCCTTTCTTTGCTGCACCATTTTTTTGTATATTTTCATCACTGGACTTATTATCATTTACTCCCTCGTTACTACAATTATGCCATTTTTCGCTAACCCGATAACGGTCTCTGTCTTCATCGTCGTCCTTTGAGAGACGAACTTCATTTATTGACAACGGTCGTGCCCCTGGTACTAATGCCTATCATACATACATATAAACAGTTATAACATTTAAGAAGTATAATATAATACAATATAATATTGCATGTTAAGTATAAAATTATGCAAATATTATGTATATCTAATTGTATTTTTTTTAATTTTTGAAGTCGTAGTACATTATAAATATAATAAGTAAAAAATAACAGAATATTTCTTTCTAAATTTGCAAAGTATTGAAATATGAAATGGAAATATTACTTTAAGTGAATCCGTAGAAATTGAAAATGAAGGTGCGGTATCAGTAGATAATGCAGTACCCCATCGACGTTTTCTAGGAACACACTTTGAATTCTGTTCAGTACTATCATGGTTTTCCTGCGAAATAATAATTAATTTACATCATCCATAATATAATTATAACATTCCAATTACTGTAATATTTCTTAAAATACTTAATTATTGATTAATTTATTTAAGAAATAAGTATAATGACAAACCTTATTTGGAACATTTGTTTCGTTATTTGTGTTTGCATCATTATCTTCTTTTTTGATATCATTCTTCTCTGTTAACATTCTTGAAGAACTGAAATAACATTTATGAAACTATAGCAGAGAATTACTAATATAAGTAACAAATTACTCATTCATACTTACAAAGATCTCTTTAAATTTACTTTCACAGGTTTATAACTCATCAACTGCATTGTTGTTGATGCAGAATATTCTGACTTATCTGTTAGACTATCCAACTTTTGTTTATTTTCTTCACAACGTTCTATTTCTATTTCCACATTGCTTATTAAAAAATTATTTCTTGCTTTTGGTGATTCAGAATGATCTTTTTGTTCATGAGAATCCTGTGTACTTATTTTTTCCTCTTGCATATAAGCATCAATTTCGATATCTCTTTTAATGGGAGGTTCATCCTCAGAATCTGGTGTATCAGAATTGGATGAATCTCGATACTTAGTTCGATGCTTTCTGCGACTAGCACATTGTATTCTGCCACCAGTTCTATTACTTTTAGTACGAATTTCATCATTCGATTCAGATGATGAGTTTACTTTATGAATTTTTTCCTTTTCATCATCATCGTCACTACTTGTATCTCTTTGAGTATTTTCGACATTAATTTCTTTACTAAATTCTTTCGTTGATTTTTCGTTAGCATCTTCCATACATTTTTCTTCCTTTGGTATAAGGTTTGTCTCCTCGGATGAGCGATTACCATTTGAACTAGGACCCAACATGGTTGTACTACCCGACTTAATGGGTTCACTATCAGCGATTTCGTTGGAGAAATTTGCCTCATTTGATTCACCTTGTTGATCTATGTTTGGTTTAGCGTCAGACAAGTTGGCTGAAGTGGTTTCAGGCAGGATCTCCTTGCTATCACTTACCTCTTCGTTGGAGTCCTGACCTGGGTATGAAGAGGAGGGATCGTTCGGCTGTTCAATGCTACTGAGCATTCTTGTACAAGAAACCAGTTGCTTATCTGCCGAGTCAACCTCCTCTGCAACTCCCTCACCACTTTCCTGCCACTTGTTCGATTTTTTCCTATTTAAAGAAGTATCAGATGGTCCTTCTAATATGCTATGCTGTCTAGACAACTTTAATATCTGTATCTCGCCCGGCGATGCATTAGCTCTTGACACTTTCCAAACTGATCCAGTATTGTTGTCTTCTTCATCTTCTTGTAATTTAGTCTTAACATCTGTTTCAACAGACAAAACTTTTTCGTTACATTCTTCTTTCTGTTCCACTTCCTTTTTTTGAAGATATGCAGATTTCTTTTCTGTTTCTTTATTGCTCAAGCTTTTTGATAATTCCTCGATATTTTCTTGTTCTGGAGATGTTGATGGTGTTTGTTTTACACATCTTCGTGTTGATTTTCGTGTTGCACGTTCGACTTCCTTCTCGGGAGTCCCAACTTTTGCTTTATTTCTTTCACTTTTGCGTCTCATATCTAAAATATGAAATGTAATTTTATTAAAATTCTTTAAATTATATGTTACAAAATAATTCAAAACTGTACAGTTAGTATATTAATACAATAAGATTTGATAAACTAAAATCTTTAACATTAAAGTTCATTGATTATAAATAAAAAGTTGTTGATTAAATACTTATAATTAAGTGTAGACTTTATGTAGTACTAATAAATAAATATAACTTTCATTTGTAATCAATAATTAAAAGTATTTTATATAATATACATAATATTTTTATGTTACAATTATACACATTTGTTTTAGTGCAAAAAAGTATTATATAATTAAATTTAGCAAATTTATTATATCTTCATTACATTTTGTTATGAATATAATTCAATATAAGTATTTATTTTAGTATAAAATTACTTTTTAGAACTTTACAATGCTAAATTAATTGTACCTTTTAATATTTAATATTTATTTTATAATTTTTCTTTCAGATATATTTCTACTATTTAGTAATCATATTTATTATAATATTCATGTATATGACAAGAAAACATTAAATAGAAAACATATTATAAATATAAACAATGAAATAAAATTAAAACATTGAATAACAGCATTAAATGTACAAAATACATGATAGCAAACAATTTCCATTTAGAGTACAGAAAATAAAAGTCCTTACATTAAATATTACTCTTGTTTCATAATCTTTTATTTTTTACCTTATACCTAAAACTATTGATGTTTATAAACAAGAAAGTATATGAAAAAGCATTTACCATATTTGAAATTAAAACAAACAAATTTTTAAATACGTAAAAGTAATTATGTGATTATATATTAGATTATAATTATTCAAAATATTTGATTAATTATTGAATAAGTTATTGAAGCAATACATAATAATAACTACTTCAAGCTATATAATTGGAAAGACCTAATGCATGTAATAAATAATTGTTAGTATGGTATACTATATCAATGAAAAGAACTGATTTAGATAATTATTTCTGACAAATATCTATTCAAAATTGCTCCAAGAATATCCGAATTTAATTTGTGGTTACCTATGAAACGCGCGGGTGATCCATAATCTAAAAATTACGGGAAACTACTTACTTAATAAATTTATTTCGTTCGTTAGCTAGAAATTTGTCAAGTATGTTGCGCTTTCCGTGAATTTTATTGACACATAAATATCGTACTACAATTGAAACGACGTTTTCAATGACGCTTCTAACAATCGGTCATACCACTGTACTCCATTGAACACGAACGTTTTACATCGTATCAGATAGACCCGTGAAACCGGAACACAGGCACATCAGGGAATATTCGTTTAAAAACTTTGTCGCCACGTAAGTTGACTAGAATATCGTTCGTAAACTCGCTTTCTCCAGTGCATCAATTACGTTATATGAAAATGGGATTTAAGTAAAGTGCATTGTGTAGTGATTTACATTTAGTTTCTTATCTAGAAGCTAGTGAAGTTACGAATAACTACGCGTAAGGTTATATACATCAAGTTTTTAACAATTAAATTGCATATTCTTCTACTTTAATATTGTAAAATGAAAATCATGCGATTTACAATTGTTTTTTTAATAATTTTTCTATACTTTAAAATTCTACCTTAAATTTCTGTATATTTGTTGTTAAAATAAATAATAGTAATCTAAATTAAAATTTTTATATTTAAATATTTGATTGACGTTTAAAGCGTTTTATATGCATATATATTACACATTTTTAATTATATCTTATGTTAGTAGTAAGTAATATACATATATATTATATACAATAGCATTTGTACCTCTTCGAGAGAAATATAAGCATTCAAATTTAAAAAATTAATATTAAATAATAATAATTGTAAGTACATTTTTAGATTTATATATTTTATATGTATAAATATAAATGGGATACATACTTTTAATTTTTGGATCAATACACCATTTTTTAAGTATTAAAACAGTAAAGCATATAATAAATATTATTCTAAACAAGATAGGTCCATTTTATTATAAAAATTAAATAATGAAATATAAAAAATATATGATATCTAAAAGAAGTTTTAACAATTAAAGATGTTAATATACAAAACATTTGAAGTATCTTTTTAAAATGCAATATTATATGATACAAAACCCAAGTTAAGTATTAAAAAAATATAATATGAAATTTTTTTTATATAATATTATTCCTCTATATAAATATGATACATATTTTATTAAATATTTCTTCATAATAAGATATATATTGAAAAATAATTTTTATTTCTAAAAATATAGTATAGGTAAAAATAATGCTTCATCATCTATGAGAACAATTTTATCAAAAAATATTAATTTAAAAT